TTTTTATTTATTCAATTATTATATTTTTACTTGTAGGTTATTTCACTATCATTTCATTTCAGGTTTATTGTTGCTTAATATAATTGTTATCACTGACTTGCCTTTTTTAATTATTCTTTTTTACTTGTTTCAGGGATTTCAAATCATTTTATATAATAGACAATGGAAGTCCGAACTAGTGAAATTCATCACGAAACATTGTCAATCACCTTCAAACAAACAACGCATTTGTTTATAACAATTTTTTGAACAATAGTAGATAAATAATTTTCTAAATCATGTAGCTTCTGATCAAGAAAAAAGAAAAAGGTGGGTGTCTAAATGAAACTTTCAGACAGGAAATACCTTTGAATTTGAATATTTAATCCGGGCCCTTATTATTGAATGGTAATCTTTTCATACCAAAATCTTTCCTAGAAACGAATAAAAGGTAGGAGAAATATATTCAAATTTTGTTAATATCTTTTAAATGGTTTGGTCATTTATCAGACTTATCATTACCTAATTGAGGTAAAACCATGAAATATGGTTTTATGATCTGTTTTTCTGAAGATTTCGTTTATTTCAGCAACAACTTGACAGTGCCGCAAATTTTTTTAAAAAAGGAAATACCTTCCTATATAAAACATTTTGCTCAGTTCAACGGTAATAAAATTACAGGCGGGATTGTTTATCATTATCTTCATCATATTTTCGGGAATAAATCTAAAACATTTTATTCTTTTTTCTCATTTATTCAACACTATCATACATTATGATGTTTTAAACCTAATCTAAATAGACAACAATCATATTCAACGATAATCATTTTTTTGTGGAGGAAAATTAGGTTTTTATCGACATTATTATTTTTTGTAATTATTATTTGTCTGTTGTTAGATTATGCGACTGAAGTGGGTGTGTATTCTCTGATGGTATTTTAATGACGCCGTCTCAAAAGGAATATGTTCATCTCAAACTGAAAAAACCATTTACGTCAGGTGAAACAAGTGGATAGACACTACGTAGGTACACAAAAAGCTGAATTTTTTATCACAAATGCGGCGAGAGGTTTTTTTCCAGCAATTCCATTATCCTTTCCCAGCCCTGCTGGCAATTTTCGTGCAAGGTCCTATCCTCAGAGGATATCTCAGATTGCCATAACACAGTCTGTAACTTCCAAAAGATGGATCATTGTAAATTCCACCTCGGCTAAGTTATTCAGTTGATGAGTGAATTTCAACGATTAATAAATACGGGGTAACTCATTTATTCAGTTTGATAGCGATGAAATAGCAACAAGAGCATCAATTGCTTTGGTATTAATAATAATAATACTAATAATAATAATAATAATGGATGATCTCGAACAAACAAAAACTTTACATTAATATTA